TAGGTGTAGCTTAGGGTCTCTGTCTATACACCTTATAAGACAATTTAGGTGATGGCATGTTGTTTTTCTGCTATTGAACTGTTTTCTAATAATGTTGTGTTAAATAAAGTGAAGGAAGGAGAGAAATAACGTTTCCCTAGCAGTTTTTAAAAATTTCCCCATATAATCCGATTAATCGATTAATCGTGTCGAGACCCCATCCGATTAATCGATTATCCAAATAATCGTTTGTTGCAGCCCTAATGTGTATGTATAGCAGCCAGCCAGCAGAGACCATGTTTCTCTGGACGTTACGCTCTATCAGCACGATGAGTGTAGTGTAAAGTCTGCGTGTGTCTGCTGATGTGGGCACAGTCTTTGCTGCATAGTCAAAACCCGAGTGTGTGTGTGAGGGTCCTTTTTTCCCTCCCCCACTTTTTTGAAGTAAGACCATCCACATAATTACTCGCCCACTTGGCATTGAATCAATCCTCTTTTATGTGTGATGTGTTTATTTAGCTTAGCGGTGAGAATTTTTTTGGTGAATGAGGATTTGGTAACACATTGGGATATGTGCTGGGTATTGGAGAGGGATTGGATGGAATCGAGGGCGTTAGGGATTGGCACATGACCTCCCTGAGCAGAGCTCTACTGGAAGACTGCAGTTAGTTTAGTTTAGTCCCCCCAAAAGTCTAATTGATGAGAAATGTTTGGACAAAGCTGTTGACCTGTGATTAACGGCATGCTTTCTGTATTTCAAGGTTAAATTCAACCCATCCTTTTCTGTCTAAATGCAGATAATATTAAAAGAAAAACCTTCATGTGTTGATTTTTAAACAATTCCTAAACGTTTTTCTTCACTGTACTTTGTTGTACAACACGTTTACAGTAGGGTTGTCACGGTGTGAAAATTTAACCTCACTGTTATTGGGACCAAAATTATCACGGTTTTCGGTATTATCGCAGCATTTTTTTTAAAAAGTTACATTTTCAGTAAAAAAACCCTGTATATCAGGAAAATATTGTCCTCAGTTTGTGTCTAAATTTAGCCTAAAATTTGTTATTTTGTAATTATGTTATTTGTTTACATTTTTCCCCTTTAGTCTTTAAAATACCAATATTTGCCCATAACTTATTTTTTGTCTGTTTGATGTCATCATTTTAAAAATGTTAGATCAGATGATACTCAGTACTCAAGTAGCCTTCTAATCAGATACTTTTTACCCTTACTTGAGTAATAAACCCTATATCAGGAAAATATTGTCCTCGGTTTGTGTCCTTCCAGTGAGCTTTGCAGATTTGGGAAAATGTCATCAGGCAGTAATCGTTGTTAAATTCATAATTATTCTCTGAGAGAGACCAACTCTTATCTGCCCCTGGCAGCCCCGTTATGCATAGCGTCATTTCAATATGGGGGTGTCCGCGACACGGTTTATATGCAGGTAGCGGCGCTGCGGCTGCTTTATATAGCGACTCGTTGCATTCTCCCTCAACCCAAATCCTCAAATCACGCATTTTAGCTAAAACGCTAACATTGACTTGCCTTACGTTGACTGTAAATTTGTGGCTGATGGTCACGCAGATGTGTCATGACATTTGAAGTGTTGCTGCCTTTCACAGACACTTTTTCTGCACGTGCTGTAAACAGGATAGCCGTCTTCTATCAACTGTCCCCCGGCATTCTTCAAATATCCAAAAAATGTTCATACTTCCGACTTTGTCTTCTTTGGGGGGATAATAAATGTCCTGAGCGCTGCCGTCTCCTCCTTTGGCCATTATTTCAGCTTTAGCTTCAAGAAGGCTTTGGCTGTAGACAACAAAGTGCGCATGTGCCGCCGGCAACTTCAGCAGATGATACGGTGGCTGGTAAGGGTCACCGCGCCTACACTGCAGCCACGGTAATCCACCGAGATAATATATTTTTTAAAAAACAAGACGGTTATTATTATTGTCAACTTTTTTACCGGGGTTTACCGCCACACCGGTTACCGTAACAATCCTAGTTTGCAGTGGTCTCTAGTATGAATGAATGACTTGAGTCAGTCTCTGGGGGAAAAAGCTCTGGTGTTCCTGTTTCAGAACTAGAAGTTGGAAGGTTATGTAGTCCCTATTTCCTGATAATTGGACATCTCACATCTGATTGGCTAACTGCATTGTGACCCTACTATTGGCTTCTCTTTGCTTTGTAATGTTGATGTTGATCAAGTAACACAACCTTGAAAGAGTTCTGGCATGTAGTGGAATTGCTTATGCTAACATTAGTGTATAGTGGCTGAGATATTCTCTATTTTTTCCTGGATGCTAAGTCGACAATAGTCTTTTCTGGTCGCAAGCCAAGATGGGTGAGTCCATCAATGCAAATTTTTATTGTGACCTATTTCTGATTACTTTTTTTAACCTGAGCGTTTCACCTGTCTATTTACTTTTGGCAGCTAATGCAGAAAAAAGGGGTAGAAGGCTATGTGAAACTCAAAGTCACTGATCATTAAAAAAAAAAATTACTAAAAAACGGTTTCCCAGTGAACTTGGTGTCTTAAGACATATTTATGCTATTGATGAGGGTAGTAGTTATATATATTTGCTATGGTACCTGCTGGAGATCACATCCTAATGGGCCAGTTTGGAGAATTGGCTTTTATGTCTGACAGGACTGTTGAGCTGATGGCTAGTCTCAACAAGACAACACCAAACTGTGTTGTCGTCGGACAGCAGCTCTAATCTCCACAACTGTTCATGTAAACATTTTCTATATTATTTTATGTAAATATCAAGTTTGCCCCACAAAGCTACTAATATGAAATTACAAGCATAAATGTCACCAGCACAGCTAAAGGTAACAAAAGGGAAACACAGCGGTCAAGTCTAGCAGAAATTTTGAATTGTTTACCAAAATCATTGTGTAAGACAAAATTCAAAATGATTGAAGGATTTATAAAACAACATATATTACTATTATGAAAATTGGGAGATTGAAACTTTTTTAGATGCGTGTCCATTCAGTCAAGTTTTTAGCTAGGGATGCACCGATACTAATGGGTAAAAGTTAACCAATACCAGGAACCGATACCAATGCAGTTGCCTGAAAGTGGCTTCACTTAAACTTGCCATTTCTGTTCACCTAATATTTTAGTTTTGTGATAATTTCTATTAATATATTTTATTTCTTTATCTACCTCACAGTCTTTTCCTGTTGAAATCAGAGAAGAAAATAAAACCTGTATTCCAATTGACTGCATTTTTTGTGTGATAGAAGTATCTGTAATCAGTATCGGCGAGTACTCGGATCCAAGTATCGGTATCATATCGGTTTGGAAAAAAGTGGCATCATTCCTATTTTTAGCAACTCAGTTTGGTTCAAATGGGCCCACATCTTAAGTGGATTGCTGCTGTCATAAAACACAACAGTTTGAAGGTGATTAAAATAATTTTAACATTGGCTTAAATTTGAATTTAGGAGACTGGATCTTTGTTATTATGGTAGCAAACACACTTTGGTCTTTGTTAGTTTGGACTAGCCTTTAGCTTATCATTCCTGTGGGACACAAGCTTTTCTCCTAACAGAGGCCATTCAGTAGATTGTATTTTTTTTACCTTTCACACAGAATTTAACTTTATAATGTTTCTTCAAAAACAGATATTGTAGTCATGCAAAATCATAATTTCACAAATATCCCAAACCAGTTGGGTTTTGTGTCTTTGTTTCTTTTTCAAATGTTACCAGTTTTCAATATTTATACCTACATTTATTAATTGAAGCATCTAAGTTTTGACAATTAATTTAAAGTGATTAAAATTTACTAGCTACTTCTCTTCATCAAGCTTTGCACAAGCTCCCCACGCACGCTCAAATTCACTAACAGATAGCGCAGCTGCTCCATGGCCATGGGCAGACAGGCTGCTACATCAACTGCTCCATGGGCAGCAAGAGCAAGATGGCATGTAAGCAAGTTTTTTTTGCCAACATCCTGCGCTGCTGCGTAAAATTCTCAGCAGAAGACAGTTAACCACTTCTCTATCTTTGTTTTTTCATGGTTTGAGAATAAAACAAGACCAGCGGTGGTCAGGGATTTAAACTTATTGCTGATTGGGGGGGAAGAAATCTCCTAATTAGTACTTGATCATTCTTTTTCTTTAGAGGGTTGTATTGTGTGTTTTGAGTGGTGTGAGCATAAATGCGTGAGTGTGTTTTGGGACCTTGTCAGCGGACTGAGCCACAAGGGCCCCTGTGGTAATGTGTGTATTAAATGATTAGTGCGTTAGTTAGCATAACGGCCCTTCAGCAGCGTTTAATCACTCTCAGGGGTGGGCGTCCTCACAGGGGGCTGCATGGAAGCAGTTGGGGGGAGTTGAGGGTTGTGGTGGAGAGAGGCGGAGTAAAAGATTTAAACCAAGGAGACGGAACTGCTGGTTGAGTGAGTGAATGAGTGGATGGCCTGTGGAGAGTTCACAAAAAATGAGGAAAGAAAAAAGAGTGAGCATGACGGAGGGCAGGAATCCAACAGTAACATAATCCAGTAGTTGCCACACACTCGGCGAGATCAGATCTTTACAAGTCCTGAATGCCTTGTTAATGTCAGAATTCAACTCATCATCTGGAACAAGTCCCATGGACAGCTATTAATAACAGAGTTAAATAGATGTGGATAAAGGCGGGCCTAAGAATCAGCCTTGACAACACTGTTGTTGATAATTACAATGCTGTCGTTACGTTATTAAGAGAGGAGGCGTCCTCTAATTGTTGTAAACTAACACTCGCTTATTGCTTCAGAAATTTAACTCTGACCCAGTTGCAACTGACTGACGGGCTGAAAAGTCCTGATACAGATGAAGTCCGAGGTGTAGCAGAGTTTTTCTTGGCTGGAGAATGGTGTTGTGTCGTCTGCTTCTGCTGCAGCAACAACACATGAGTCAGTTTAAACTGGAGCTAAATGACCAGTTTGCATCTCGAAAGATGCCTTTTGTCTTTGCAGAGGTGATATGTACAGCTGGAGCTAATATTAAGTTTTGCATTTGCTTTGCAGAAAGAACTCGATGCCACCGCCACACAACTTGCCAACAGACAGGACGAGAGCGAACAGTCAAGGAAGAAGCTAATTGACCTGAGCCGCGAGTTCAAGAAGACCACTCCAGAGGTGAGACATTAACAGACTTGTATACCACTGATCCTTCAGCAATAAGAGTTTTCCTGATGGTTCCTCAGCATCTGCTTTCTACATAAATGTAGCGGTGATTATTTACCAAGAAATAAGGGGAGGAGGAGACGGAGCAGAGATTCGGGCTTGGCTCCCAAAAATAGTCTCTCCATTAGTTTCCCTGAAATCCTAAAGAGACAAAACAGAAAACCCCTCAGGAGTTTGTATTATCTGACCTAGTTTTTTATGTGAGCTGAAAGTGTGTGTGTGTGTGTGTGTGTGTGTGTGTGTGTGTGTGTGTGTGTGTGTGTGTGTGTGTGTGTGTGTGTGTGTGTGTGTGTGTGTGTGTGTGTGTGTGTGTGTGTGTGTGTGTGTGTGTGTGTGTGTGTGTGTGTGTGTGTGTGTGTGTGTGAGAGAGAGAGAGCAGGAGAGGGAGAAAGACGAAGAGACAGAGCAGCGCTGAGCTGAGCAGGAGGGGGAGAAAAAGAGAGTGTGACAACACTACTAAGTGGGATCAGGAGGGAATTCTGTCCTGTTCCTGTGTTCCCATCACTCCTCCTGGGAATATTTGTTTCATCTCTGTTACCAAGGCAACACATTTCAAACCTCACAGTGAAAACAAAGTATTGTTGTGTTATTATTGGTAATGTCACCATGGTGAATTATTGATGGTGTTATGAATTATGAATGAATGGTGTAGACAGTGGATAGAAAATTGTCAGCTCTCGGTGGAGTTGACAGCAGGCCTATTATAGTTACCACAGGGTGAGGGTTGTGACGATTGACTTTAGCATGTAGCCTTTGTGGTGTGGAAAAGCTAAACCAGAGGGAATCATACCTGCGCACACAAGATGGAGGTTTCACCTCACACTCAGCGCCCAGAAGGAAAGAAATCCTCACATACAAAGAAAAAGAGAAGCAAATGGGCCCAAAAACACATAAGCAGATAGTCTAGATCACAGAACAGGACACACACATTCATCAGTGTAACAAGGCTGTGATTTAGGAAGGCTCCGCTGGCGTCTGTGTGGCCCCTGGCATCTCCCTGGTATGTGGAGGAGGAATCTCAGCCAGGCTAGACGAGCGACAGGATTCATTACAGGGCTGTAGCAGGCTCAGTAGGAATCGGCACTAAAACTCTGGGTGTTTGCAAGTACAGGAACATCAGAGCTGCCTAGCGCAAATAGGCTGCTTCATAACATGCAATGGCCTGTGCTTGATTAAAAATTCCCCAATCATCTTCTGTGTGTGTTTGTAGAGTTGTGTTTTCTTTCTTCTTCATGTGCTTGGCTCTGTGTGTGGTTGACCAGCCCGTAGAGGGGGCTGTCAGCTCTCTGTGGTCCGCACCAGTCAACGGAGATCACAGTCACATCAGATCAGACTGCATTAAGCTGAGCGGGAGTCCGTCTCTGATCCATTATTCAACAACCAGGAGCCCGGCCCACGTTGACTGTGTCTAGTCTGCTGCGCTGTACTTGGCGTGAACTGCACTCACAGTCTGCATAATAACACACACAGACACTCACACAGCAGCTTTTGCAGCATTTTGAAAGCGGTGCAAAGAAATACAGCGTGAAAACAAAGTTTTTATAATTCATTAGGACCGACACACAGAATCATTTTTTTCTTCTTGAGACTTAGTCTCACTGCGCTTTCTAAGTTGCCTAAATTATTAATTTACTTCTTAATTTCCTTTTAGTTAAGACTGCACTATGCTAGTGTTATGAAGAAATAGGTGGGGATGATTGTATAAAATGCCACACAGATTGCTGACCACAGGCAGCAGTAGTAAAACAACCTTGTGTGTGTGTGTGTGTGTGTGTGTGTGTGTGTGTGTGTGTGTGTGTGTGTGTGTGTGTGTGTGTGTGTGTGTGTGTGTGTGTGTGCATTCACACATTTGTGTTTAGCTGCAGGGCAGACAGACAGCGAATGGGAGTTCCATACTCCCTGGAGGATTCCTCAGGCTGGCCTGTCTGCTGTCTGCCGGCAGCTTACACCAGCCATCCATCTCCTGCTGCCTGGGCCCCTCACTCCCCTCAACGCACACGCACACACACACACACACACACACACACACACACACACACACACACACACGCACACACACACACACACACACACACTGACCATGGTGTCTGTGTGCATTGTTATGTTATATGGTCATAAATCTTTGGAAGTGGAGGGGGCAGGGGGAGGAGCTCTCAGGAGTGGTCCGAAGGGGTTTAGAGCTTGAGCGTCCAGCAAAAGTGGCTTCCTCAGTTATTTTATTTGAATGTTTTTGGTTTTATCAGAATTTTCCTCAATTTTAAGTCCTGTCTAAAAATTTAAAACAACAAAAATACATTTGACCATTTGAAAGGTTTTCTGTACCTTCTAGTCTTTGCTTGCGCTTCTGAACTTCCAAGACCTCCCTACATGTCTGAGCTGGTCACATGGGTGTCATGGCATATTATATTTTTATCTATCATTTATTTAAGCTACAGCAAGATTAGACAGACCCAACTGGAACTGAACTTTGAGTTAAAATGGAATCACAATCTAATGCAAATTTCATAACAGTCACTTATCTGGTGGCTTTGTGTGAATGGCGTTTAGCGAGAAAGGGCGACCCCGAGCAGAGGAGGGGTGGGGTTCAGGGTGCATATTGGATTGGTTCAGACAAACAGCCACACCGACCCCTAATGAGGTAACAATGACGCAAGGTCACAGAGTCATGACCTGTCCTAAGCCCCAGACAAGCAGCCAGTCTGGACCAACCCGAGATTAGTCCAGCCCCAGACACTGGTCACAGGTCAGCCTGACATGCACACGCCCCACACATTTTACTTTAGGCTTTTAGCAGAGGTTTCTGAAAGGCTCTGCATCTCCTGAGCATGCATCTGCTGTTGCCCTACTTATGGTCTTCATTAGGCAGTTTTGTGAACATGTTTGTGTCCACAGACTGTGCAAATCAAATGCTCATGTACAGAATGTCCTATTCTGCTGCGCTTTTTACCATACGCTCCAGTTCAGTTTGTCAGTACCCGGGCCTGGCTAACAGCACTGTGATTTGCATGTTCCCTTGATACGTACTCAACTGGCTATCTAATCTAAAACTGCTGACTTGTACTGGAAAGTCATGCAATGGGACTTGAAGGGTGAAAAGCATTTGCTATTAAAGTCTAAACCCAGTGTGCTGCTAAAACAATTTGCATTAACTGTAGGCTCTATCTGTGGCTCCCTCCCTGCTCTGACTCTCACGCACTAGTGGTGCCTTCGGGTGGCCCAGGTGGTGCTGCACCTGTTCTTATGAGAAACCCAGTCCAGCAGAGCACCCCAGGGCACCGGCCTGGCCTCAGCTTCCCTCTGCTATTCATCATTTTTGCACCATTTTATTTTTATTGGCAGAATCAAGAATAGCTGCCACGATAGTTGATGTATTTTAACACGGTTGTGTTAACTGTTATAAGTATGCTTTTACCTATCGTTAATTTTTTTTTAAACCTACTAATGTATTTATTTATTTTTAGGATTTACGGAAACAAGTTGCCCCTCTGCTGAAGAGCTTCCAAGGAGAGGTGAGTGTGTGTGTGACTATGCAATGTGACGACTCCCCTGACTGGCATTCATGTCCTCGTATTTAAACTGAACATTTTACAAACCCTGTTTGACTTTAGTTCAACGGCTTTGTTTCCCCTTTTCTCTTTTTTTTCTGTGGTCATTCCTACATTTTTCTACTCTCTCTTCACCATCTTCTATTCTTCCTCTTGCCACTATCTCATTTCCCCCCTTTTCTTCTCCTTCTTTGCTTTGCCCCGCTCTGCTCTTGATTTTCTGTCCTATTCATGAAGTGCTGTAGCCCGAGGGTGTGTTTAAATTGCATCCTGAGAAGGAGGAAAAAAATAAAGTCACCACTAAATTCTTGCTCTGGCCAGTCACAATTTACTGGCTGCATTACTCCATCATGTTGTTTTTCTTTTCTGTTTTTGTTAATTTGGTGAATCATGAACTGTTTCTCCTTGCTGTGGCAAAGTTGTTTATTTTCAGTTTAATATGTTTCGATGTACGCAGATCAATAAGGGGTGACTCATGCGTGCATGTGCTATATCATACACCTAATATTCCCCTTTATCATTTTGGCCTAATTCCATCGAGACTCCTCCTTTTTCACAGCCAAGCGTTTCTAGTTCACTCCCATATGTGAAAGTCAGAGGGTAGGAGTGGAAGCGGCTAGTTGAGACTGGGGCCTTATTTAGGGTTGAAGTGGGTGGGTAGGTACACACCGACATGCACACGCACTAGAACACACATGCACTCAAGTAAAATCATCTCAATAGATAGTGACAAGGGCTGTTTTCCTACTGGCCATAGACTATTACAGTTTTAACACTGGGTTAGTTTCCATATTCTCGAGTTAGAGCAACAAACACAGCCCGTGGTTATGTAAAAACGCTGTAATTTTTAGTGGTTTCACCATGTTCTGCTGATGATCCACAGTCTATTTAAAGAATAGAAACAGCAGCAGTATAATTGGGGCTTTGTCAGCTGTTTCCACCATCTTTATGTTGACACACCTCGACAACGCACACACCAGAACACGCCAAGAAGCGCAGTGGGTGGCCATGGAACTGAGAAAGACGTGATCTTATGATTATTGAGATAATACTGTACACCCGCGCCAGTCTCAGAGCAGCCCATCAATCAGGCGACTATTCAGCTCGTTTGCGTGCCACAACATGAGTCGTTCTGAGAATGTGTAATTTTAGCCTGTCTTTGTTTGCTTAGCCCTCAATCCTTTGATCAAGGACAAGACAGCACCCGAAACCAGAGGGGTCCTCTTGGAGTCCCACGTTAACTCATCCCTAAGCATTTTCCTCAGAAGCTCCAGTCATTACTGAGAGAACGTGGGCCTCAGAGAGAGAGGGAGAGAGCAATAGAAAGTTTTAGCTCTGGAACTTGGAGGTCTTGACACTTTGTTTAATCTTTGTCATTGAAAGGTGGGTGCCCTTCGGGTCATAATTATTACCAATAATGCTACAGTTTCCACAAGGCCTCCGTTTGGTAAACGGGTTATATGTGTGTGTGTGTGTGAATGAATGTGTGTGTATTGTGTGCTCAGTGTTTCTTGTTGGTCCATCGATCAGATAAGCTTTTCCATTATCCAAGGCTTCAGTCTCTGCTTCCCATAGCCTCCCCTTATCAGACTCCACTGGGGCTGGCCACACACACACGCACGCACGCACGCACACACACACACACACACACACACACACACACACACACACACACACACACACACGCACACACACACACGCAGGTCAGCCTGATGCCCTTCACACACTGTGGGTTAGATAGGGGTGCAAGGCGGTGCTGAGTGATGGTGCCACAAGGTGCTGACGTATGTATGTATGTGTTTGTGTGTGGATGTGTCAGGGATACTTTTTGCAATTGTAAGCACTTCTCATCAGTAACCCACTGATACTGGTGAGGTTTCATTTGTGTCACTTCATTTGTTTGCGTGTGTGTGTGTGTGTGTGTGTGTGTGTGTGTGTGTGGGATGGGGGCAGGGGAGCATGTAATAGCAGATGTCATTGGGATTGGTTGAACGAGCTGCAGTTTGGAGCAGCAGGGCTGTATTTGCAAATCCTGGGTGGTCTTCTAATGGCCCTGGTCCTGCAGTTAACCTGCTTTTAACTGTAGGGTGTGTCCTACATTAAATGTCTATTTCCTGCCTCCCATGTTGCGCTATATAAAACCGCTGTACCACTGACCTTGGCCCAGTCATCGTACAGTCATGCAGTCGGTTTCCTTCGCTGCCATCAGTAGATCTTTTATTGTTGTGCGTCACTTAATCACAAACTCTGAATCTCTGATTGCACATTCCTAAACACACAAGATCAACGTTAGTGTGTAAGATTTGTGTACATAATCTTCCTTTATTGTCAATGCCATCAGAATATTCTGATTGCTACTTGGAAACAGAACATGATGCAGCATGTTGTGTAGTAATAATAATAGGTTTGTTTGTGAGAGAAACAAACAGGATAAGATGGTAGGAGACTAAGCTGTGTGACAGAGTGACGCTGAAAAAGATTGAGATTGAGGGAGAGAAGAAAAGACTGAGTCAGAGCATTGAAGTGACAAGAGATAGACTGAGAGAAAGACACGGGAGTAAAAAAAAGGGGGAAAAGAGGGAGGGGTGCTGGCACCAGTCTACTCGGGGCCAGATGTTTTGCGGCTAAAAAACTAGAGTGAATCAAAGCCATGTGAAGAGATTTATTAGGTTCCCATAGGAGCCCAGGCAGTATTACATGTAGACTGTTCTGTTTACAGTGGCAAGAACCCCTAAACCACCCATCAACTACACTACTGGCTTGGCTGGGAATGTGAAGACTTTATATTTGGACTTAGATAGGCTTTTGTCTCTATTCCTTTTCTTTTCGCGAATGCGCTGGAGGAGTTGGAAGCAAAACACAAGGCTGTTTAGTCTGAGTGCCTGAGCCAGAGTAGTCGGCTGTAGCTCTGCCCAGTACAGTAGCACCATCTGAATGTCTTTATTTGGCATCTGTTTCCCTCAATTTAGATTTGAATTCAGATGCGTTTCGCCTACTGTGTCTGATTCTCCTATTGAAGCGTGCCACAGAGACCGTAGCCTCGTGTTTCAGCAATGCAAAAGTTTCTCACTGTGATTTTTCAGAATTAATCTCTTATGGATCCAGCCTGATGCCGTTTGTTTCAATAATATCAGTGATGGAGCGCATGCCGTGCCCTCTTGTGTTAATGGCTACATCAGTAATGGATCCACACTGTATTGCTGCTAAAAGCTGACTGAATAATCTGCCCCTGCTGTGGCTGGAAAGACTGAGCCAGCTGTTTAACGATGTCAGCGTGCTGGAGGGGAAACGGAACACACTTTTTTTTTTTTTTTGTATTTTTAACACACACATACACACGTTGACTGATGGATTCAGAGCACACACTCATTGGAGGACACGGATGTAAACGCACACTGGTGCACGACAAACGAAAGGCGTCCGTCAGCAGCTGAACAGCTGAACTGGCTTCACAGGAAGGAAACACCAAAGCAGCCTCTGTTAAGACAGCCGTGATCACTGGCAACATACCAATGCATAGTGAGGATGGACAAATATGTAGGCTACTCTGACAATGAATTTAATGGGCCTTTCTGTGGGTTAAATAGATCTGACACTCAGATTTGAGGTGGTGTAACAGACAACTAATCGTTACTTTTGTTGTTTTTCAATCCTTGCAGATTGATGCCTTGAGTAAAAGAAGTAAAGAAGCAGAGGCTGCCTTCTTGAACGTGTACAAGAAAATAATCGATGTCCCAGGTAAGAATTTTCAGTTTGAACACCTCATGATGGTATAAACTAGCACCAACACGAGAAGGAATCAAGCTTTTCAGTTGCTGTTCATTTGCCTGACACACTAATGATTCCCCAAGAGGCCATTATCCCACTGGTGTGGCTTTTAAATTGTCCTTGTCTCAATGTAAACAAGGATTGGTTCCAGCAAAATGTACACACAAGTTGTCATAAAGAAAAGTTACAAAGACCACTTCAAATGTGCTGCTGGCTGGAGATTTCCAGCTGTGTGGAAGTCCAGGAGGGACCCAGTATGTAGGAAAGGAGTTGAGTTCATCTATAGCGTAAGGAGGTCGTCATATTCCCACAAGGATAGACCTACAGTAATATCTTTGGATTGTACTGCTCCCAATAAGTCAGCGCCAGCACTGACGGGGCTATTCTTAACTTGCAGCGAGACAATGATGTAATGCCTGATGCACACATGCACAGAGACACAAACCAGCCTGACTAATGCCGCAGTTCTGAAAGAGGAAACGGTGTGTTTTCTTCTGTCTTCTGTCAGCCGAAGGCCTGGATAGGCAGCCCAAGTGTGCTCTGCTTTAGATTAAAGGTGTCTGGCGAGAGTGTTCAGCACCAGTGGCCCACAAGTCAAACTGTTTTTAACAGGCTGTACCGTTGACGAAAGTTTGATAAGAGGGAGAGAGAGTCCATTTTCAAGGGCGCCAAAGCTGATAGGAGTCTCTGTTCAGGGCGTACAATTATGTTATTTAGTATTTGTTTGTACGCGCGTGAGTTTGTACAAAGCTATTGCAGCGACATACACGTTTACGTGAAATTGTGTGTGTGTGTGTTACCTTGACAGCACAAAATCAGCATGAAATTCCCCAATCGTTCTCTTCTGATCTCTCATTAGCGTAGTTAAGATATCTCACTGCGTCAGACATGACACACACACGCACGCACGCACGCACCACACACACACACGTCTCTTACCCCCAGCTGTAAGCTGTCAGTTCCTCTTATCTGTACCACACAAACACACACACACACACACATACATAAACTGCTCTTTTAGCTGGCATGCTGATGAGCGTTGCTTGCGTCTCTTGGCTGCCTGTCACCAGTCTGCCACCCATGGGCACCAATCAGATGTGATTGGCCTGACTGACAGGGCTCTCTTCATCACACTGACAGTTAACCCTGCTGCGTGTTTTCCAGAGTTGTTGGTGAAATGCCTGTAGAAAGTTGCCTTTGTGCTCCCTGTCTCTGTTTCTCTAATCTCTTATTTACTTCTTTCAACATCTTTTTTGTTGTTGTTTTTACAGCTTTACTTTGTCCAACTGTCTGCTCTGGTGTTTCTCTTTTCTCTCACTTTCAAGCTGCGTCACAGTAAACACTTTTAACTAATCACAGCTCGGTACTCTCTCTTGTTAATGTGTCTCATCTATGTTAACTTATTTCTGCCTCTTCTGGTGTCTGTAATCCAGTCCTGCTGCTGCGTCAGCGTTAGCCCTTCCGATACAGAGCCGGTGCTTTCCTCAAATCTCAACAAGAGGTTCTTGATATAAACATTTACAGTGTATCATATAGGAAAGTTTTGTCTGTACAGAAGTTTCTGTTTTACACCAGGCCTTGACTGATTCAAATGAGTTTTTTGTTGACAGTGAACCAGCTGGAGTGTAAACTATTATGAATTTCAAACAATGTTTAAAGAACACTCTCAAAAGTAAACATTTAGATTGCATAAACAAAGCGGGAAAGCAACTATCACCTCATGAAATATTTATTTTAGGTTTCCTTTTTTCAGAAACTTTTAAAACACATTTTGATCCACTTTCAATGATGAAATAATTCTGTATCAGTTTGGATGATAAAGTAGAGCATTAAATGTGGCCCGTCACAGTTGTTCTGCTAATTGTGTAGTGTTTTGGTTCATGCTGAAATCAATCATTTTGCACAGCAAGGTCAAAGGTGAGGGTCGGCTCCAAAACATTTATCCCAAAGCTGTTAGATTCATTGCCTTGCTCAAGGACACTTCACCAGGACGAGTGCCCACTCTCGTACGGCCTTGACTGTGGTTATTCCTAGCGCACTGGGCCACCTCTCTGCCCTTGCTTGTCTGATCTGCTTTGCAGTGTGTTAACTGTGTGTGTGTGTGTGTGTGTGTGTGTGTGTGTGTGTGTGTGTGTGTGTTTTCTCCCCCAGACCCTGTACCTGTGCTGGAGCTGGCTCAGCAGCTGCAGCTGAAGCTCCAGAGGATGCACGACATTGAGACAGAGAACACCAAGCTTCGAGAGACACTGGAGGACTACAACAAAGAGTTTGCCGAAGTTAAGAACCAAGGTTAGCTCAGGATATGCGGCTAAGGCAAAACATTTCACCATATTCCTGACTTTTAGAGAGCAATTGAGGCGGTCCAAATGAATCAAAATGATTCCCCGTTGTGAATGGTAAAACACGAACTAGAGTGTGTGTGACCAGTGGAGTGTACTATAGATCAAACATGCTTCAGCGAGCAGGTGGTTCCAGTGGAGGGTTTTAAACATAATAAAACACATTTATTATAACTAGCAGAAAAGCTGGAACTGCAAATACTGACAGAAAATCAATTATTTTAATTTTAATATAAATATTTTACCTACTTGTGAACTCGTAATTCCATTGATAATCTCATAGTCGTCAATCAATTTAACTGTATTGGAAATAAAAGTGGCATTATTAGCTAATTGCACTTGTCCTGTCAAGGGGATACTTAGCAATTTGGCTTGTTTTTAGCACCCCCTAGTGTCCGCTAGACAAAGCAAAAGTGAAACCAATCTGCTCGCTGTTCGTTTGTCTTTTTAACACCTTAATCTAACAGCTGAAATTTCTCTTCACCCTTCATTAGTTTCTACAGGAGTGATTCATCACTAAATCTAACAAATCAGCTGTGTTTATGATCTAAAACATGCAGGAAATGTGCTGGAAGTGGACTGCAGCACCAGGCATGTCAGCTCCACTTTTACTAGATCAGGGACCAGACCGGCACTCTGAAGTTGCAAGTGCGATATTCTGTCCACAGAGGGCAGTGGGATCTGAGTAACATTTCATTAACCCTGTAAAGGGTAATTTTAACACATACTGGCTCAAGAAAATTATTAAAAAATATGACAAAGTTGCCTAGTATGGATTTAATTAATATTAACTAATGATGCTGTTGTCATTTTAGGAGACCTGCTAGTTGTAGGTGTAGACAAATGTGGAGCTGACCGGTCTCTGTTTAGCCTGAGCTAATTAACAGTTTTTTATCATTACCACATAACCAGTGTGTGAAAAATCATCAAAGTTCAAACCTAACACACCTTTCTGATCTGTTAGAATATCTTTATAAATTTGGACCTGAACAGAGGTTTTCTTTTACCTTTTATCAGTAACTTTCTTTAATTTCAATAGAATTACTTTACCAGCTTCTGAATACTTTTCATTAGCAGGAATAATAACCATCTAAAAGTTTTGAAATTGCTTAGTTTGATACACTTGAGTCTGATTCCTTGAAGATTTATTTTAGATTTATTTAAGAACCTGTAAAGCTGCACTGCGGGTAAAGTATGACCATTGGTGTGCTAATGATACCCATCATTACAAATTTTAACTTTAGAGCCAATATACTCTTCAAGGGTTAAGTCCATATTTCAACATATTTAATGACTCATACATTTTTTAGGAAAGCACCAAACATACAAGGTTTTACATTTTCAAATAGGTTTTAAAGAGGAAAAAAATCACAAGGCGCCGTTTCATGAATAAAAAATGAGTTTAGCTGTGGGTAAAAGAGAGATGGAGAAACTGACAAAGGCAGAAAGGTGAGTGTAAAGAGGTAATAAAAGTGGTGCAACTTCAGTTGAAATGGAGGAACGAGCGGGGAATGTTTTGGAATCCCCCTTTTTCCTCAGCGAGAGTTAATTGGAACAGCTCGATAGCGGCAGGGTTCCATTCTGCCATTGATTTTCCTGTTCCCTCATCCTTTATCCCTCCTTCCCGCCTCAATAGCGAGGGATATTTAAACCCCCAAAACACACTCTGGAACTCCCACTCCTGTTAAACGCACGCATGGAGCCGTCCATGTACACACATGCATGCACGCACGCACGCACGCACGCACGCACGCACACACACACACACACACACACACACACACACACACACACACACACACACACACACACACACACACACACAGTGCAGAGGCCATTGATCCCCACAACCTAAATGTTTAAAGTTCAGTTAAGCAGTTAAGGAGTAAGAGGGCTCTAAGGGGACTCCTCTATTGATTATGTGTCAGAGCAGTGAGACTGGAGTTTAAATCACACACACACACACACACACACACACACACACACACACACACACACACACACACACACACACACACACACACACACACACACACAATACACTCTGCTGAGCCCTCAGTCTAAGGCATCAGGCAGCGTTTCCTTAAATTATTGTCACACTTGCGATATCTTTCTCTGGTAAAAAAAAACACACTCTCACTAGTGCAGATGCCCGTTTATTACTCCACTTATGTGTTAGATTTATTTCTAGCTGTCTCATACAGAGCTGAGCCGTCAGCAGGTTATGGGATTTCACCTCTAATGCAGGCCTAATGAGTACGACATATCTGCTGCTGGTGAACACTGACTATTCTCCACCAGTAGCGGATGTAAAGATTAGGCTGGAGCCACATGGCCTAAGGTCCTGGAGTGTGCTCACAGAGGAAGAATGTGGGATATGAAATTCTGTTCTTTAAGCTGAGGGTCAAACACCCCCCACCAAAAGCATCATCTTCGCTGAAGCCATTTATCACATCTAGGAAACAATTCTGTTTCTCTTGTTGCAAAGTTTCATTCGTTCGTTCGTTCCTTCCTTCCTTCATTCATTCATTCATTCATTCATTCATTCATCTTTTTAACACTCGTTCTACTGCTGTGATTCTTCTTTAGAGGTGACCATCAAAGCCTTGAAGGAGAAGGTCCGGGAATATGAGCAGACTCTGAAGAATCAGGCTGAGAACTTGGCTCAAGAGAAGCAGCTGCAGCTACACAATGACTATGCAGAGAAGGAGAGGTAGAACTACATCTTTATCATTTGACTGGAAATAATCACTTCTGCATTATGTTGCTATTTTAAACCTCTGGGTCATTACGCCCTCAGGCTGAAGTGTCACTTGTCTTTGAATGAGGAGTTTAAAGAGTGTTTAGCTGAGCTGGTCACATTTTAGTAACATCACAACAATGATAGCTTTGAAGCGTGTTCATGATGTATGTATGTATGTACATACATATCAGAACATCAAATAGGTACTCTCAGCCATCTTAAAAACGTATGTAGAGAAAGCTGCATCTCTGAATGACTGCTTTAAAACAATCAGCACCTACTTTTATTTGGGTGCAGGCCAACAGAATGTTTTCCTGATGATTTTGTAGAACAGATGAGCTTTGTCCAACTGTTTGGGTAAAGGAAGCTCACTAAAGGCTTTAAGGTCTTTTATGGGTTACATGGATTTTCCAAATTATTGTGCATCCAGACAGTGATCATAAAAAATATAAATATTACCCTTTTATACAGCTTATTTAATCTGTAGAAACCAGAGATGTTCAAAGTGTTGCCCGGGGTCCATTTGCAGCCTTGGAGCATTTTTTGCAGTCACCACTTGGATTTCTAGAATTTAGAGTTTTGTCTCTCTAATAAGCTTTTCACATAACATTTTTATGTTCAGGCATTACTTAAATGCTTATTTTGGATCTTATTTTAAGGCGTAAAACGAATAAAGTTACCATCAAAAATGTTTGTGTTTATTAAATTAAGAAAGTCACGCTTAAAACCCTCAAAGACTTTAAGCTAGACCTATTTTGGGCCTCATTTTAAAACGTTTGGACACCCCTGCATTAACTAGAGAACCCAGAACTGCGAACCGTCCAGCAAAGATTTGGTGAAGAATTGCATAATCAGTTGAATCAATTAAAGTTTAACTACCTTGCTAAATATTTACAGTATTTGTTTGTATTTGGATGTCAAAGGTAGTCAGTAATTCTGAAAATATGAGTCTGGAAAAGTCTGGAGTTAATTAATACCTAAATATTTAACCATTTTAGAGAAAAAGGGGAAACATGTGGCAGTAGTTAATAGCTTATTGTGCCACTGCATGTCTGACAGATGTTAAACCATTGATCTGACTGCTGAAATGGGATAATCACTCTTATCAAGGAACAAAAAAACCCCTAAACTTCCCTTCCCTGTGAAGGGGGAGTGTTTAATGTAAGGATAATTAAACTAACTGCCTGAGGTTATCTGAGTAAACATCTGATGTGGGCCTTTCCCCCTCCTACCTTGTAATTCAATACTAATGAGAGAGCAACTTATCTGTAAACCTGTGTCAGCTTGGACTCCGAACTATTCTCTCCAGTTCTGAATTAATAGAATCAGTCTTTTAGCAGCGTTTTCATGATTAAACGGTGTCAACCAGCAGATTTATAATTAACCGAATAAACTTTGTGTGCTGGTAGTGCCTAAGAGCACATACTGTCTTTAAAACGTTTTCTGTCAAGTGTCTGTTATCATAAAACAAACCTTTACTCCCTGTTTTTTGAGTCTTATTTACTTTCTGAAGGTGTATTAAAGTATTTCAGACTTTTGAGTAGAAGATCAATTGTCCAACTGCGTTTCCTGTACGTCACAGTTTTATAGGCCCCTTCCTGTCTGCTGAGAGCTGACTTCCTGCGTCTGAGAGGGGTAGTAAATGGATGGCACCTCCTGATGCATTTTCTCCACCAAGGAGTGAGGGAAGGAGAGAGAGGCAGAGATGAAAGGATGAAGTAGAGGGGAGAAAAATAGAGATGACAGGAGAGACAGATTGGTGGTGAAGGGGGGAGGGGGCATCAAAGGGTGTCATAAAGATGGTATTTGTGCTAGATTATTGATGTTTTTACACACAGCAGCAATTTCTCAGCAGAGCCCAACTTTTTAGAAGCTAAGAATGAATATTTTATCCGTGTGGTTTCTGTCTTTCTCGCTCCCCCTTCTCCCCCCACCCCCTTCTTGTGACTCCTTCCTTGCTCCACACCCACCCCCGGGTGCAGCGTGCCCCAGTGGCCAGACATTCCTGCCTAATAGGGCTGCTTAATGAGGTCTGGGTTGTGTTTGGGAGGTTTTTAGTGGGGAAAACTCATCAGAAATGGTGGGAAAATAGAAAATAGTTGCAGTTGCCACGAAGTGTGAAACCAAGAATCACTGACTCACTATCTTTTTAACTGTGACTGTTTGCTTCCTGCTCTCAATTTGATCTCATCTCTTTAGGAAACTCCAGGAGAGCCAGGACTCTCTGTCGTCGAGGTTGAAAGAGGCGGAACACAAGGTCCAGTCCCTCCAGACAGGTACCAGTCAGTCCAGTTTCAGATTTTAGATGCTGTTTTAGCTAGCTGCTTCTCAGTGACGATATGGCAACTAAAGCTTAAGAAAGAGTAATAAAACATAGTAAAGGATTAAGCTGATTTACTTGGACTGGGTGAATGAATTTGATGAGTTTGACCTTGGTCTGTCAGAATTATCAAATGGCGTCTCAGTTTCCTTTAAACTTGAGGAAAAAAGCAAAAGCTTCAAATCTTTTTCATAAAATTACTGAGAATGTACTCATTCAGAAAGGCGCTCAAGGTGGTTAAGACACTGAAATCAAGTTTTGTAGCATGGAAAAATTCAACAAACTTTTCTTTTTTTTCCCACAGCACTTGAAACAACTCAGGCTGAGCTCTTTGATTTGAAGACAAAGTATGACGAGGAGTCTACAGCAAAGTACGTGTCTCGAGCTAATCTACATGTGTGTTTGCGGGCGACTTCTCCCCTCTGGCTCCTCCTCCGTAGTCTGTTCTTGACATAATCATCCTGTTTAGTGAATCTCCCTCCCTGGAAACTCCCCCCTCCTTCATCCCACTCTCCCTAACAGCTGGAATGTCTCCCACAACGCTCAGCAGCCTCCAAATCCCAGCATTACCCGTGCACTGTAAATACTGAAAGGGATTCTAATGTATTCTGCAGGCTCGGCAGTGCGTCAGAATAGGTTTATTTGTGTGTGTGTGTGTGTGTGTGTGTGTGTGTGTGTGTGTGTGTGTGTGTGTGTGTGTTTTAGCGTGTGTGTGTGTTTTAGCGCGCTCCCTCTGATTTATCCGAGTGGTGACACAGAGAGGAAGTTCACTCTGAGATCTCTGTCTTAAAGCCACACAGGTATTATTACAGGAGCTGAAAGATAGGGTAGCTTCAGTTACTGGAGCTGTGTGCATGTATCATTATTGATCTCATAGTGGAGGCCAGGATGAGAACAGAAGCTTTTCCATGTCTGCACTCCACACTGTGAAGTGCCACTTTATGGCATTCACACTCCTCGCTCCCTCAGGGTTTGGTGGTGGGAACCAGAACCACCTGAGTGTCCAAAATTTTTGCAGAAAACTGAAAAGTTTTAGTTTTATGGAGGGAACAAAAGATGAGGGGTTTCTGATGTTTTATTGACAATTGGTGCACCGCAGTGCACCCTGAACTCCTCTGCTAAACACAGGGCTGTTAGTAAAGTAGTCAAGGGCATCCTGCTTGCATGCATAAAGTACAGCAGGGCATCAGCGTGGCTTTTAAAAGCTGCCCCTTCCAGTCCCGTTTACTCTGCCCCAGACGTACCGTGTCGCTCCATTACCAGAGTTGTTAAATTGATTGGCTGTTAAAAACAGATCGATCCCTCTTCTGTCTTCCTCAGAATATTTTTTTTCTCCTTTTCTACCTCCTACACTTTGTCTTTTATCCTCCACATTGTGTGTTTGTGTTAGCGGAAAGGCCAAGGAAGATATTGCTCACTGTGTAATGGTGCTGATCAATAGTTATTTTATTTTGTAATCAGGGGACAACCCCTGTTAGTCTTTTTTCTTGTTATATTTCACTTCTTCAAACTTCCTTTTTTTTCTGTTTGTGTCTGTTTCTGTCAGGAAAAAAGAAATCATTGAGAAAAGACACTTACAGTCGACCCCCATTTGCTTACAGAAACTAATAAGCACATGCCCGCCCACATCCACACATGCACTCACATACAAGTACACACACTCGCTCGCTCACTCGTGAGCCTGAGGCAGTCAGGGTCCTTGACTATGTGGCGTGCTGTGATCTGAAATTTTAATGCAACGCTTTAAAGCACACACAAACCCTCTCTAACCCTGCACCCTCCCAGTCCTTGGAGTCCTTCCTCCGTTTACTGCTTGGCTGAGCAAATCGCCAGTGTTTGGCTGAACACAACTTTTAACCCTTTAACTGCATATATTTTAGCAGCATTAAACACGAATGCCACTCATATCATGAGTATTTATTTTTCTCCCCCCCCCCCCCCCCCCCCACAAACAAACGTACACACATGCACACACGCAAACTTTCCAGCGAGGAGTGCTTTGCGTGACAAATCCCCTCGTCCTCTTGCTGCATTTGGTTAATCTGCCTTTTAAATTATGCACTAACACACACAGAAATGACACACCCTGAGAATTTGGTCGACGCTGCAGTGCCCAGAGTGAATGTGTTTGTGTGCGTCAGCGGGGGGGGGGGGGGGGGGGGGGGCGGGCCTATAGATGTAGCGGAGCCCCCTCTCTGTGTTGGCACTGCAAGGGCCTGGCTGGCCATGTTTTAATCGTTTAGTCCCTGTTAAAGATTAATGATATATTGATCTCCAGCCCCACAGGATCCCTTAGGTGTGTGTGTGTGTGTGTGTGTGTGTGTGTGTGTGTGTGTGTGTGTGTGTAGGTTCATTTGCACATAAAGGACTTGACACCATTCACGTGACTACTTAATTGCTTCTAAGCATCAGTAAGCTTTTTTTATTTCTACCTGTGTCCATCTCAAGTGTCCACAAAAACAAAACGGGGTGAAATGAGTACACACACACACACACACACACGCACACACGCACACGCGCACACACACACACACACACACACACACACACACACACACACACACACACACACACACACACACACACTCACACACACACACACACTTTCACATCAAGCTTCTCTTTAAGCCTCCTTGAAATCCCCAAGGTAACATGCTGTGAAGACGCAATGTGGAGAAAGCCACGGAAAGAAATGGAATGGAGTGATGAAAGCTGAGGGGCAAAAAGCAAGCCAGGAGCTCGAGGCCTCTGTGAGGAAGAGGAGGATAAGAGTGTGATAGAGGAGGGAAATGAAAAACTAAATCAGGGGAATATCCTGCTGGCACGAAGGACGGAGGCCGAGGAAGAGAGGGCTAGAGATGAGACGTGAGGGGGGGTGGAGGGAACGGTTTAGCAGGGAGAATGGAAGCAGGCAGAGGGTGGAAAAGAAAGGGAGCAGGAGAGGGAAGATAAGAGATGAAAAGGCTGGTCTGAGATGGAGGAAGTACAGTAGAGGCTTAGAGGCTCTGGGTTTATTTCAGAAGTCCTACACTGATGATGTCACTGGGTGCACGCACATGGCCTTTTAGGGAACAATGTGAGTTTTTGTGTCTGTGTGTATTTATGTGGTTTTCAGTACATCTAAGATATAGCACCTCCATGTGGCTGCTGATTATAGTTTAGTTGGGGGTTTAAAAAAATCGGATGTCACCGAAAACCCGTCTCTGTACTGTTGAGTGTTTGATGAATTAATTCCTGCGGCTGCATCGGCGGGCAGTTCCTGTCCTGCCCAGCGACTGACTGTATCAGGAAATGCAGAAAATCCCTTCTCTGTGATCTGCTTTGGCCCTCCGCCTCTAGCTTTGCCTTTATAATTCCCAAATACAGCCAAATCCAAAGGTTATTTAAGAAGACTTTGTACATCTGTACTTTGATTAAATGATCACATTTGGAGCAGGAGCCACGCAGTGTTTGGGTTCCATTACCACCCATAAACGCTCTCCGTTACAAGCATTTCTAGCTTGTTGGCTTTGTGACCTTATGTTGTGTGTGTGTGTGTGTGTGTGTGTGTGTGTGTGGTAGAGGGGCTGAGTGCGCACGTGGGTCCGTCACACTGTAGCTTAAGTCAGGAGGATAAAAGCTGTTGTGGTAGAGGACTATGCTGTTGCTTTAACACACACCAGATCCTTTTTAACTATTAAGGAAAGAGGAAAAGCAGCGAATGAAAAGCTCTCCCGCCCACATCTGATTCCTTTTGCTGCATCGCCTGTGGCACAATGTTGACCTAATATCAACTGTGTCTGTTTTGTTAAACACATTCAAATCAGTAGTACTCAAGCCTGTGGGACATTATGCTGTTTCACATTCTGTGACACACAAATACAAAAGGCTGTGTGGGCTACTGGGTTCACCATAAAAGATTACAATCAAATCAAAAGGCCCTAATGGACGCAGCAGCAAACATATGTGCTCACATCTATGCACTCAATGCTTCTCGCGTTCTTGTCAGTGTGTGATATCTTTAATAAACATGCCTATGGATGACGTACTATTTATGGGGCCAATGATCCCATGCTTTTCTGTACAGTGAAGCAAAGTTTGGATTAATCTTGGATTAATCTTCTTCTTCAATGTTTGCTCCTGTTCGTAGGTAAACGGTGGACAAAAAAAAAGTGATTAAACAATTTTTCCAAAATCTGAGAGATTATGGGGCTGTGTTCTTGCTGTCTGACCTCTAGCAAGTGAGAGGTGAATCTGGCCCCCATCCAGACCATTAGTCAGACAATCACACAGCTTCATAGCAGATTAGTCTCCTGTATTAGGACTTAGAGCTCTATTAATGTAATCCCTCTGTTTTAGTGTGGCCTGGGTTTTAGGGGCTTACATGTGCACACCCACACGCAAAGACACACTTAAATACATGTATGTACGCACACATACAAGCTGTTTGAGTAATGTTCACAATCAGTGGATTAGGATGAAATTTAGACGGTGGCTTAATGGAGGCTGCATTCTTTAAGTGCGTGCCTGCTGAGCAGGTCGTGTGTTTGATTGTTCGGTGTCCTTCTCTTTCTGTGAGGCATCTAGTCCGTGTGTGAGTGCACGTGAATGTGCGTGCGTGTGTGTTTTAAGCCTTGTTGCATGCTGTGTGTTTTTCTTTACATTAATGTGAAATGTTGCTTTCAGGGCTGATGAGATTGAGATGGTGATGACAGATCTGGAAAGAGCCAATCAGGTAATCCACTCAGCATCATATTACACATTAAAAAAGAAAAAAAAAACATATTTGCATGCACACATTTTTTCTGATCACATTATCCATCAATCATTCTTTTATCAAACATGCACGTTGCTGTTTTTAGCTGCCCCAACGTTTGTTGTCCTGCTGCAGAAAATACTCACCTGAGCAGCGAGTGTTTATTAACGTCTGCTCTAAAATAGTCCTAAACAAGTGTACCATTCATTCTACTTTGAGCAACATAAATGTCCAGCTGTTTCAAGGAATTATTAAGCTCCTTCTAAAACTGCTCTGTGTATTTTTGACTTTTTTTTAAGCCCAAGAGGAACAAATGTGCATGTTTTTTTTTCCTTAAGACAGCCTGCTTTTGTCTTTTATTAGGTTTCCTGTGAGTAAGAAAAATGTGGACTATTAGACAGATTTGCTTACAGATTCACAATCTATAAAAACATGCTCTACATGAGCGAGTAATGACTTGCTTATTACGGCCATGGCTTTTTGTTTTTAGATGTATTATTTTTTTTCTGCACACCTCCTAAACTCGTTTAGCTGAAATCAGCCCCTCGGCGAGGCCTCTGCCCCCGTGTTTTTAACATTCCTCTGGTATCTGTTGATGTCGTTGTTGTTAATTTTCATTGTTAGTCCAACAGAATGATTTTGGTTAAAGGGATAGCATAGGCATGTAATGTTAATATTAGCCCAAAGGTTAGCGCATCAAACACACACACACACACAAACACACTATTCACACTTCTGATTTGAGGTTTACACAGGGTGACAGCATGGCCTCTGGCTCACTCAGACTTTTTATACGCTTTTATAAGTAGAAAATGGAAAACGGGGCTTTTCTTCTGCGACTAGCACTTTAGCTCCCACCCAGTCAATAACAGCTCTCAATATGGTTGCAATTAGGAACGCTGTGAAATCGGCTCCCTGTAACTCCTAATGATGGTAAGTTGGCCAGTGTAGCCGATGATTCCCAAAAAAAAAACATGGCTGTGAGGATATTATCTCAGTTTCTAGGAATAAGTTAGTGTTTTTAATTAATAAAATCTTGCCTGTGTTGTTGTCCTTCATCTTAAATTCACCAACTTTGCATTGTATGTTTGTTTTAGCTGTAAAGAGCTTCCTTTCCACACAGCTACACTACAGCATGAAGGTAGAGGCAGATTGCGGAATGGAAAACTTTTTCTCATGAATGTTATTGCCTTTTGCCCAATGTAGTGAATCAGCTGTCTGCTCGCCACAATTATCTAGGGAAAAACTGCTAGGCTGTCAGTCTCGGCATCCCTCAGACCACTAAGGTCACCTAAAGATGTGGTGCCCATGTTGTCATTCAGATTTTTTTAAAGTACAAGTTTGATATTATGTTGTTTATTCAAAACAATTTAGATGGGTATTGATTAAACTGCATTTAACAGATTTTGGTTAATGATAGGAAACTTCACTACAAGATCTTTGTTTTATGTGTTTTTTACAGCGAGCAGAAGCATCTCAGAGAGAGGCGGAGTCGCTCAGAGAGCAGCTATCACAGAGTAACCAATCCCATCCGCTCAGCAGCCCGGGCAAGGTCGACCCAGACTCGGTAACTCTTTACAGTGCTCTGCTTATTGGACAAAAAATATTGAAGGTCTGGAACACTGAAAAATCATGTTTAAAATCTTATAATCAGTCACTCAGAATTTTTCATGCAGGCTGAACTTGAAAGTAGTCTCTTACACCTATCTTCTGCTTTAGCTTCTGATAGAAAATAGACGGTAAAACTCTAGGATTTGTGAAATCTGATGGATCTATGTCGCTTAACATTCATGGACTCACTCATCTTGACTCGTGGTGAGGAAAACTGTTGTTGTTTTAGCATCCAGGAAAAATCAGAGAATACCTAAGCTAGTAGAAGCTAACCGTTAGCATTAGCAGCTCCACCACACAGGAGAACTCCCTCAGGCTTGTGTTATTTGTGGAGATAAAACATCCACACTGCAAGTCAGTGTTAGAGTCATGTTGTAGTTATTCAATCCGAGGTGAGATGTCCGAATGTAAGGAAATAATGGCACTTACACACTAGCTTCGGCTCCACTCCGCCTGAACTGTGTTGGGAGTGTTCTCATTTAAGGTAGCCTTGACTTTTCCTGCGCGCAACTGGATGTCTTTTCAGCCCTCTTCCCAAGGTGGTTTGCCTGGAGCCGAACTGGTCCAACACTCCCACTGCTGACTGATTGGCTAGCTCAAATTGACGCCTACCATTATGGGAGCCTCCGATTGGTGGGTAGAATCAGCCCGCTGTGAGGAGCACACACACACAGTGCTGCCAGACACAGAGAAGCAGGATGCAATGTCAGAGTCAGAGAGTCTCCAAAAGCAAGACTGCTCAGGCCGCATTTGTTTAATAACAACACAGTCTACTCCACTCTCTTTTTCCCCGCCCACACCTTCATGACATCACTGATTTCTATTTTTCGCGCCAATTTTGGAGACTGCCCATGTTCTCAATCACGTCTGCATTCCTAAGGCAGTGTAGAATGAACGCAGCCAGGCTGTGGCGGGTGGAGCGGAGTACATTGGAGTGGAGCTGAAGCAAGTGTGTAAGTGGCATAAGACTCCAAAACCTGCTGTCTAAAGCTCTGCTGCGATGTGGCTCACTTCTAGTTCCTGGAAATGGTATGCTGGTGTTTTTTTTTTTCTCCCCTGAGCACAACTTACAAGGCATTTATTCATACTAGGGACCACTGCAAATATATCGATTGAATGAGTGTTCTATGCCTTTAAATACGGAAATAATCAAATATACAGTACTGTGCAAAAGTTTTAGGCAGACCCAAAATAAAATTTGCTGCAAACAAAGAATGGAAGTGTAACATTTCTTTTCATCAGTCAGCTGTGAATGAACAAAAGGGAAATCTAAGTTAAACCACTCTTCGCCTTCGAAACAGCATATGGTAATTTATCTAGGTCAGTGGTTCCCAATCTGGGGTCTGTGACCCACCATGGTGGTTCTCACAAGGTTGCAGAGGGTCCCCACAGTTTTGTCTGATGTAAAGTTACCAAGACTAAATTTGTAAAAAATTAAACACCCAATAGTATTATCAAAATGTTGTATAAGAGTTATGACTCGTGTGTCTCTATAAAGTTTGTAATTTCTTCAATCTTAATGTGTGTATGTGGGTAGGAGTTGTGGTTGGGGGTCCTGGCTTGTGTTGGACACAGGCAAGGGGGTCCTCAAAGTAAAAAGGTTGCGAATGTTCTAGGTACAGTTGCACAGATTTTTGAAAGACCTGGGATGGTAGGTTGTTCCAAACATCTTGGACTACTAAGCCCCAGATCTTCTGTTGATGTAGGTTTCCTCACATCCTTTTGCCTCTTCGTGTAATCTCAGACACACGCCACCGATCAGGGCTCTGTGGTGGCCAGACCATCACTTCCAGGGCTTCTTGTTCTTCTTTACATTAAATATGGTTCTTAATGTCTTTGGGGTCATTCTTTTTGTAAATTGATTAAAACAGACAATCATTATTTAGAATTCTGAAGGCCTTTTCTGTTTACTGCATATTTTCCATACCTAATACATTTGCACAGCACTGCAACTTTGTTTCCTAAAGCTTTTGCGTTCGTTTCAGCCACTAAACTAAAAGTTTAGACTCTGGCATCACCATTAATGTTGTTGATATTCTGCAGAATGCAAATGAGAAATCTGTTGATGCACCAACATATAAATTTTGGTTTGTAAGCTGCCTTTAACTGAAGTACAGGAGGGTTTTTTTGTGCTTGTACAAATCTGTTTGTGTGTTAGTTTTATGGAGTTAAGTGAATTAAATGTCTGACTTATCTTGACTTGTAGGAACAGACAACAGAGGCTGCATCCCATTCAGGTCTGGAGGCTGAGCTCAGGGCCAAAGAGAGGGAGACCGCCCAGCTGGTGGAGGATGTCCAGAGACTGCAGGCCAGCCTGACCAAACTCCGAGAGACTACCAGCTCCCAGATCTCCCAGCTGGAGCAGCAGCTGAGCAACAAGTCTGCAGTTCTCAAGGTATCAAAGAGCACATAGCTCAATGTTTTCACGTCTCTGTGGTTTCTGCCGAAACAATTTTATCTATTATATATTTTGGATGGCTTTTTATTTTTACCCTCTCTGTATAACCATCTATCTCCTCTGATTCATGGCATTTTTGTTTGATCTCTTTGATCTACAGGAACTGGAGGAGAAACTGGAGAGACAGGCAGATTATGAAGAGGTCAAGAAGGAGTTGAGGTGAGGAGAGAACAGAGAGGATGTGAAACCAGCTCTGATGTATGTAGAGTTTTAATCATAACGCAGACCAAGTCTTCATTCGTGATCCATAAACCAGTGAATTTCCCAAAATATGGCGAAGCTTTAACATTTGTGGTTTTTATTCTTCTCCACTTGCTTCCTGTGTCTTGTTCCGGCTTCCTTGTGTTGAAACGGACATAAAAGCTAGCGTGCTATAAATGTTTGTTGTATTTGTACAGATGATGTTTTTTCTCCCCAGTATCCTCAAGACTATGGAGTTTGGAACTTCTGAGTCTGTGCAGGTAAACGTTCGAGCCTTCCAACATGATTTTGCTCACTAATTTCAAACTGTTGGTATAAATGAAGTTAACTGACAAAAAGAAAGTAAATTAGTTCATGTGAACATCTGTCCACCTTCATCAGGATTCTTCCAAACCTCTGGAGGTGCTGCTGCTGGAGAAGAATCGAACTCTTCAATCAGAGAGTGCAGCTCTTCGTATTGCAAACACCGAGCTGAGCGGTAAGTCTGGTTAGACGTGTAGCTCGTTTAAGGATCTGACTGTAAAAACCAGAAGAAGCTGAGAAGGATGGTTAAATTAGCTTCAGGTAAGACTGAGAAAGCATCGTAGTTACCAAATCTAGTCCTCAAGGACCACTGCCAATACACCTGATTCGGATGAAAAACCGTTAACGGGCTTCTGCAGGATTTGACCTGCTGAGGGTGGAATTTAACCCTTTAAATCAGGCGTGTTGGAGCAGAGAATTATCTAAAAGCGTGCAGGATAGTTGGCCTGGAAGACCAGAAATAAGAACATTTGATCTGAATTCCTCAAAACCATCCATGCCAATATTCATATGCATGTGTTTATTAATTTTTTTCTCTGAGAATACTTTAGTATTTTGGATTTGATTTCAGAATCACCACCTTCATGCTTTTAATGATTGGGAAAAAGACAAATAAAACTTTTGAATCTTTTTTCAGAGATGTAGAATTACTCTACCCCTAATTTTCCCCAAGAACAACAACAAAACAAATAATTTGTTTTCTTTTAAACACAAAAACAGCAGGTCAACCCAAAAGGTAAAAAAAGAACAGCATTAAACAGAAACGAGGACACCAGGACTTTTGCCCTCTGTAACAGTGTTTATGGGTCTGAAATGTCATTGCTTTAGGCTTGAATAGCTGAATAGCTTAGAATTGATTAACATTCTCGGTGAGAGGAGCTTACTGTCTTACTGAATCACGTTAAGTCTCAGTGGTTATGCATTAGAATAATTCTCTCTGGTGCTCGTCATCGAGACAAATTCCAGTAGTTACAGGACTGAAGAAATAGAGTTTATGTTGAAATGATCTCGCGATTATAAAAAATAAGATTTGTTTGTGTGACTTCTCAGGAGAGATGGGTAATGTGGCCTTTGCACAAAGTCTGTTTTTAGTGGCCTGAATCTTTTTTCTGTCAGCCATAAACATTTATTTTTGTTTCATTGCCCCTTTTTATTATCTGAAGTGTTTTATATGAACTTAAAGACTGATTCAACATCTGCAAAGGAACAGCGTGTAAGAACTCACTGCAGCAGCGTTGAAGAGGACTCACATGATGTATTGGCTGTCTGAGGACTAATTTTAACTCTGTTCCGTTACCTCTCCTTTGTCTGTGGAAGGAAGAGAGAGACTGAGCCCTGGGCCAGGCTAATCTGCTCCAGTGGCACCATGATGATGGTTGTGTGTGTCCTTTTGTAATTTTCTTCCAGGCTGTGTCTTACAAGAAAGGTTGAAATCACAAATGCATGGGCACTTTGTCTGGGGGGGTTGGCAAAAAAGAAAAACAAAGTTCACTAATTTGGAAAAAGACTCACCTAAGATAATTTTTCACCCCCACCCCCTCTCTCATTTTTGGAACTCCCTTTTTTGTTGACTCCCCCATAATGCATTGTGTGTTTGACCTTTCTTGTAGGGTCAGCCATGCGAAAAGGGACAGAAGAGTCTACAACGAAGGAAGAAGCAGTGAACAGCGATTCCTCTTCCTCGCCCCCACCTCCACCTGCCTCTGTCTCTTCCTCGTCTCAGCTCCCCCCATCTCGCGCTCACACAGACCCCCTCAACACTGCCACAACCAGCAACGACACACACCCGTTCACTCCGACGGGCATTGGACAGGAGCTGTACTCCCCCATGTTCCCTCTGGTGGGTGGAAAGATGGCTCTGAACTCCCTGATTCAGCGGCAGCTGCTCCAAACCTTCTACTCCAAAGCCTTGCAGGAGTCCTCTGGAATCCACAGCGGGGCCCTCCTGTTCACCCCCTTCACTCCGGCCCTCACCTCCATCCCTACCTCCACACCCAGCTCAGGATCTGCTACCATCCCTCTGGCAGCCAGCAGCCCCCAGCCGCCTCCAGCCAGTCCTGACATGGCTCCTGTAAACGGGAGCAGCACCGCAGGCAGCGCTCCGTCTCCATCACCCATCCACTCGGACACCAACGCCGGCAGCGTGCTGGACGGGGAGGACATGGACACGGCAGAGATCGCCCGACAGGTGAAAGAGCAGCTGATCAAGCACAACATCGGACAGCGTGTGTTTGGCCACTATGTGCTGGGACTGTCTCAGGGTTCTGTCAGCGAAATCCTGGCGAGACCAAAGCCGTGGAACAAGCTAACCATCCGAGGAAAGGAGCCCTTCCACAAGATGAGACAGTTCCTCGCCGATGAGCAGAACATCCTGGCTCTGCGCAGCATTCAGGGACGACAGAGAGGTTAGCCTATGTGTCTTTAATGCACCTGTGTGTGAAGGAGAGTGTGTGTGTGTGTCTTGTTTGTGTGTGTGTATGTATGCGCGCACAGCCCTGCACGGAGCTATTGATTAGCTTGCCAATATGGACTAGCTTCTTATTTTTCTTTCTCTCTCCTAACTCCCTTACTGTGCCACACCTGTGTGTTTTTGAATGAGTTCCTAGTCATGCTCTGATCCCAAGAGCCTCTCCTAGCTATTGTGGTCAATACTGAAACCTTTCACACATCAATAATATCGATTGGAGGAAGGCAGGGGTACTGTTAACTATGGCTAGATTCGATTAGCCTGGGCCTGCTTTTCTTAACGCATCAGGACATTTCTGATTGAAGGTGGCCTCTGAGGCACAAAATATGTTACGAACTTAACCTGCACTTTGTTTGCCTTTGTTTTAAACCTGCCGTTTAATTGTGAATCCCTTCGCTGGTCTGTTTCCATTGTGGGTTTTTAATATAGTTTTGTTGGAGTAGAAGTTTAACTACAGCTGTGGCCACAGATGGTGCAGATCAATGCCTTTATGGGACAATATAACGCGCATTGGATGGAACAAACAATCGTTGTATTTGCAGGGCACCGTTAGGCACCACATAGTCTAGCTATAAAAAGAAAAAGCCCCAACAACACAGCAGTGCTGTAACAGAGTGTGTGGTTATATTGTTTTTAACAGAGGGCTCAGGCCAGCCCCCGCTTAGCCGAGTGTTTCAGGATGTTCCGAAGCGGAGAACCCACTCTGATACACCTTCACACACAGGTCTGTCCCCTTCACATGGAGAGATTCTAGCACGTTCTGTCTGTGTGGCATGTTTGTCGGGGTGAATTGTATCCATGGTGTGTGTGTGCGTGTTGCTGTTTATTAATTGCAGGCAGGCATACAGATATAAATGTGCCTTGAAGGTAACCGCATAGTTAACAGTGACGTGCGTCAAAGGAAAATCCAGCATGTGTATTTAGGCCTTTTATCGGTAGTTGTTATTTTGTGGGGAGTTATTTATACGGCGAAGCCTGTAGCACGTGTGCATGTGTGAGCTCCGAGACCAGAGACATGACGATGGTCAGTCCCGTATAGTTTAGTGGTGGGAATGTTGTTCTTTGTGCTGTGCTGTTGATGTGATTGGTCCATTATTACGCTCTTTATATTGGTTATCCTTCTTTTTTAACCTCAACATAATTTCTTGTCCTCCACCCCCCACCCCCACCCCCGTCCCTTTTCCATCTAGGTAACATCACAGCTCGTGTCCGCACCCCAGAGGCAGGTTCAGATGAAGCTATCAAGTCTATACTGGAGCAGGCCAAGAGAGAGCTGCAGGTGCAGAAAGCTGGTGAGTTGTAGTTTATTTCCTCATCTGCTGAACAGTCGGAGCGTTAAAGGTGGTGCATTACGTCTGACGGCCAATTTCCCTTCCTTTAATAGACTTGTCCCATGCTCAGCCATCTTACGCTGGTCTGAAAGGAGGAGGTGTAGGTGGAGGGGGAAGCGGAGGGGGCGGTGGATCAGACGAAGCCATCCGCTCTATCTTAGAACAAGCTCGCAGAGAGATGGAGGCTCAACAGGCGGTGCTGGACCCCATCCTAAAAGCGTCATCTTCCTCCTCAGCATCACTTTCTCAGAGGGACATCCTGAACTCTTCTCTCACCTCCCCCCTCCCACCCTACAACCCCCTGGCGCTCTCCCTCAAGAAGCCTCCCAGCTCCCTCCTGTCCACGCCTTCGTCTCCGTCTCCGGTCCTGGACTTCAGCTCTGGTGTCAAGAGAGAGGGCCGAGCTTCCTCAGGGATTGACATGTCTGCTGATGGAGCTTTCAGGCTGGGCCGTGCCTCCGAGGGTTCTGTCCGCTCCGGAAGTGCAGGAGGAGTGGGCTACTGGAGGGAGCAGTGGTGGAGCAACATGCATTCGGAGTCACGGAGGACCATGTCCAGCCAGCCATGTCCAGAGGAGAACCACAACCAAGAGGACTGCAAGGAGGTGAGGGTGCCAACATTTATTTATCCTCCCTGTCCAGATTGTAACCTCTGTTTCGACCGTAAAATGGTTTTCATGCCTGAGCTGCTGTTGTGGTGTGTGTTCCAGGGAATACTGAGTGACGGTCTGTCTCGACACAAACCGTGGAACAAGTTGAACCAGAGGAGCAGAGAGCCATATCTTCGTATGCAGCCATGGCTGAACGGAGACCAGGGGCAAAATACACACATCCAGCAAGCTCAGAACCAAGGTACACACGCACACACACACACACACACACACACACACACACACACACACACACACGCACACACACACACACACACACACACACACACACACACGCATACACACACGCACGCACACACACACACACACACACACACACACACACACACACACACACACACACACACACACACACACACACACACACACGCGCGCGCACACACACGCGCACTACAGATTCATACAACCAAGCCATCGTTATTCCAAAAGCCTGATTAGGGCTGTTGACTAGTTGTTGCTGTCAGTCTGTCACTCACTCTACCCACCATCTTCCTCCTTCTCGTGGCTTCCCTTCTACACCCACCCCTCCTCGTCCTCCTCCCCCCACCCACCCCCTCTTCCCCAGCGCTGTGGCAGTGTCAGCCAGCAAGCTGCTGGTTTGTCATGTCATAGACAAGTTAGTGTTGCAGCGCCAGATGGCAGCTCTGCATGTGTGTGTATGTGCATGTGTGTGTCTCTTTTTCTCTCTGGGGGTGTAAACAGCAGCTAATGTACACTGACAGCTCTTCATGACTGCTCTCTTCCAGCCTGCTGAGCTGCACAGCAGTACTACACAGACACAGACAGGGAGATGAAGGAATAAGAGGAAGAAGCCAAAAAAAAAGCTTCAAACTGAAAACTAAAGCACCTTGTGCTGTTTAACAGGAGTTAAATTAGTTGATGTGATTTTGACTGAAGTTGCTCCTGATCCCAGCAGGGAGAGGAGCTGGAACCGTGATGTAACATGTCACCTAACCTGTGTGATTCTCTGTCTGTTCTGCTCAAAGCAGAGGGCACTCCCAAGACATCAGCCAGCTGCAGCCCCGCTCCCGAGTCCCCACTCAGTTCAGCTGAGGAGTCAGTCAATGGTCTCACTGGAGATCCGCTTGCTTCTCAGTCGTCTGGTCTAAAGCCGCCGTCTGAAGACCCCTCAGGTGGCGAGTCTCAGCCCGGCACTCCACTGCCCGTGCCAGGTCACTCTGGCCTCAGCATCCAGGAGATGGTTGCAATGTCTCCTGAGCTTGATACTTATGCCATCACCAAGAAGGTTAAGGAGGTCCTAACTGATAATAATCTAGGTAAGAAGCACAGGGACTTGAATTAGTAGCTCTGTGTTGGTGCAGTTTAGCTAAAAATCCATTCTGTGGAGTGACCGTTTCTTCTTTTTCTTGCCTGACCAGGCCAGCGGCTGTTTGGGGAGACCATTCTGGGTCTGACTCAGGGTTCTGTCTCAGACCTGCTGGCCAGGCCTAAACCCTGGCATAAGCTGAGCCTGAAAGGCAGGGAGCCCTTTGTACGCATGCAGCTGTGGCTCCAGGACCCGCACAGTGTGGAGAAACTCATGGATATGAAACGCCTGGAGAAGAAAGGTGTGTAAGAAAAGCCAAAGGAGGAGTAGATTCTATAGAACGCAGCATGCAGTCAGAGGCAATAAAGAAAAGGGTGATGTTATCTGCTTCAGCATGTTTATATTTCATAAATATATTCTCCAGCACAAACAACAATATTTGGATTACACATGCACATCTGCACACACAATATCCTTTGTTCAGGACAGCAGAGCATGTTGTGCAGATCACAGTCATCTTGGTGTGATGTCAGTACCAATCAGGACTACAGACATCACGTACTGTATTGGATGTGACAGCTCGGGGACTGCCGGGGGCCTGCTTACTCACACTCATCAGCACTCCTCTTCATCATCGTCATCATTATAATAATCATCAGTTGCTATAAGCTTGTGTTTTAATCATTTTTAAAGTACAGAACCCACTCTGTCACTTCATTCTTGTCTGTTGGCAAGATTTGTTAAAGAATCAGCAAATCCAACGAAGTGACCCCCACCTTCCCACTTCAGGTGTTCTCTCTGGGGACAAAACACACATCTAAACCTGGCACAAGGAACAACACTCAAGGATCTGTTTGTCCTTCTGATACCTAGAAAAACCCACACCAACGGACCTTGAGTCTGTTTGGATCGGTCGGTTTATCCTGCTTTCAGGCTCGTTTTGGAATATTGACCAAAGGAATGTCACCAGATAGACGTGAGGTGGGCGGGGCCACTAGCAGAGCCCAGAGGAAAGACATGGACCTAATCCAGAGCAGCCATAGTTGACCTCTCACTCTTATGGTACAAGCCTGCAAGGCAGCACACGACTTTCAGCGTGCTCTAACCTTGCTCTGAGGGCTTCACCCCCCCCCCCAACACTAATATATATGGCAGCGTGTATCAGGGTTGGGGAAATGTCAACCTCATGCAAAGCTGCCATGAGCTGTTCATTTTCAGCTGCTGGTGCCTGGAGTCAACAGAGCTGCTCTTTTGCTGTGAAGCGGAAGGGACACGTTCATTGTTAAAAGGCGAGGGCTCCATCTAGTGGTGGAAACAGGAGCTGACAGCATTTATCAGAATCTGTTCCATTTTTTCATCTCATTTTTTCCCTTTTGGTGTTTTCACTTACTCCTGGGTGTAATTGAGAACGTTTTGTGTTTTTGTCTGTTTAGCTTACATGAAGAGGCGGCTGAGCTCCCTGAGTGATAGCCACTCCATGGACGGGGTCTTGGTGGGGACAGATTACATGCAGGGCTCCCAGAGCCCGGGGCAGCAGCAGCTGAAGAAGCCCAGGGTGGTCTTGGGCCCTGAAGAGAAGGAGGCTCTGAAGAAGGCTTATCAGCAGAAACCCTATCCCTCCCCTAAAACCATTGAGGAGCTGGCCTCCCAGCTCAACCTAAAGACCAGTACGGTCATCAACTGGTTTCACAATTACAGGTGAGTGCTTGCATAGGAACCTCCATGGCTGTAGATTGTTTTGAAGTTGGTAATGCCATCTTATGCCTTGTTTTCCTTCTAGATCTCGCATTCGAAGGGAACTGTTCATCGAGGAGATCCAGGCAGCTGGAGGGGTGGGTCCTGGCAGCGAGGGGGGATCTCCCTCTCTCCGTGGATCCAAATCAGGAGAGGGAGACAGCTGTGATGGGACAGAATCCGAAGGCACAGTGGAGACCCGCCAGGGACTGGGAATCGGTCAGGAGGACCACAGAGGAGTGTGCAAAGACCACAGCATGGAGGTCGAGTCAGAGGTGGGGGGCTCTAATAATTCCCCCACCGAGTTAGACTGCATCACCTCAGGCTTAGCTGGGTCAGGCTCCAGCTGTGGACAAAGTGGACTGGGGCTTTTCAGTCTCACTGAGGCGTCCTCCAGTAGCTCTGCCTCGAGTACAAACATCCCGGCCCCTGGCCTGACCAGAAACCCCAGGGACAACAATCTGCGTAAGAAGAAAGCAGCCAATCTGAATAACATCATCCACAGGCTGGAGAAGGCTGCCAGTAAAGAGGATCCCTCAGAGTGGGAGTTTTAGCTCTCCCCATCTGTCCTTCATCCCTATCCTCTCATAACCTCACGACCTCTAACCTTGGACCCCTCCTGCTCTGTTCCAGTCGGAGAGAGGACACAGCCAAAGTCAAGCTCAGCAGCCATTTTTATTACAGATAAGCTTTCCAAAAAAAAGAGGAAAGCAGCAATGAGTGGTTGGCAAAACCCGTAAAAAGAAGATTTACTGAATACTTAGAAGAACAAAATCCAGAGAGCTCAAGTGTCTCTCCTGTTTTTTTTTTTTTTTAACTGAGTTTTGTTTTTGTACTGAGAAAAAGCACTTAGCCGTCCTGCTGGCCTCTGGCCCTGCTGTACCTCCCCTTATCACCAGCCACTGGTGCACCAGACTGGTTAGTCCTGAGCTGGGGTCTGACCCGCAGCCGGGGTTCAAACCTGGACTCGGTAACAAAGGCAAGGCCTGACACAGCAGCTGTCACAGTGATAGACACTGATAGATGATGGAAAGAGACAGGAACTCTCACAAAAAACTCGCTTTCCTAAAGGAGATTTTTTTCCGCTCTTCTTCTCACCTCCCAAGTGTCCACAAACCTCCCCTCACTCAGTGAGACGCCTCATTTTTCACACTGTAGAGTGACTGTTACAAACCCTTTGCCTTTTTTCACTCACTGCGTGTGTGTTTGTGTGTTAGGGGTTGTGTCAGTGTGCACCTGTATGTCTGTGTGTGTGTGTGTGTTTGTTGTGTGTATGCACACCTAAAATCGGTGTGTTCTCTTCTCAAAGGCAGCATGTTTTGTTTTTTACGTCACTCCTACGCTCTTAAGAGGGTAGTAGAAGGCCTGCTGGCTGAGCTGCCACAGTTACTGATGTAAGACAGATGAACTTTGACCTGTTGTGTCCCGTATCTGATCCTGCTGACAGCCATGTGATGGCCAGAAGGATTTTTTTAATTCCTCACGAACACACGCACTCATCTGAAGAGGACGCAAGGAAGGAACCCTTTCTTTTTTTGCCTCCTTAGACCTTTCTTTGTAGGACGAAGGATGATCTCTGTTTTTTGATACTGCAATTTGGTTGCCAATAAGAGATTGCACAGTCTATTGACTCTAAAGAGTACAAAATAGGGAATTTTAGCAAGCAATTTTAATTAGTACAAAAATACGAACAGAAAATAAGAGAATAACAAGTTAATGTTTTAAAGCAAAACAACCAATTAGAATGGAATCATGTTGCGATGCAACCCGATGAACTCGTGTAGTACTGTAGCTGTCTGACATGGTGATACTATATGTCTCTTGTTTATGTTTTAAGGTTGTGCACGTCACAGCTGTACCCAGCACTGGACCTGCTGGGTGTGTGCACGTCTGCACCGCTCACAAAAACATTCACAAACATCTTTTTTATAGGCCAAATCAGGAAGAGTGTGTGTGTGTGAGTGTGTGTGCATTTATACTTGCCTGCATGTAAGTCAGGGTTGAGGTCAATTCACCATTTATGAAAAATCTTGACTGAAAAAAAAAAAAAGGTGTGTGAGTTTTAGCAGACTGTGTTGTCCCCCCGGCCCTGGTGAGTCGTCTCCACTTGTCTCCAGTCTTTCCTGTCTCCAGGGACGCGCGTGTCTTCTTTTTGCATTGAATTCTACTGTAAACACTACAAAGGCATATCACTTTCTCCCTGTCCCACACAAGCCCTCAGTGCCTGTCAGCCCACTGCCTCCCCTTTTTGTGTGTGTGTGCAAGTTTGCATGGATGCACGTGCACGCATGCCTGCGTGTGCACGTGTGAGAGATGGAGGAGCGTGCGTTTGTTTCCGATGAGTGGGGTCATATTTCTACTTGCACACACTACTAGTGCACAACTGACACCCTTCTTTAAGCTGTTTGGTGCGTTACCATTGCATTAATAACCTTCTCACAAGTAGTGTAATACTATGATTTACTGTAGCTTGGTTTTATCGCTATTTTGCATTTATAGTTTTGGTTTTTATTCTGCTTATTTATAGGTGCTGTATTTTGTTTTTCATTTAATGTCTTATCATATGAGTTGTTTATTTTTTAAGGGATTATACTGTTCCTGAGGGCAAGTAACATTTTTATTAGACGTATAGACTGCCGGCAGTATTGGTTAATATTTACAAAGATGTACTAGTTCTCATTTGTTTGTATATTCATGAATCCTAAAGGTTTTAGTGTCATTTCAATAGCTTTGATCACGTGTTTGCTACAGTCCATGCTCCCATCAGCATCAAGCTCTCACCACAGCTGTTATGCTCTTGAATTGCTAGCTAGAGAATCAAAGGAACATATCAGGATCAGTAAATATATGTTAGTCTATCTCTATTTTATTCTGTTGTCTATTCTCGGATCATGTTTTCCAAGGCAAGCCCAACACCAACGCTCAGCTGGGCATGCAGCTTTCGTTAACCAGATTTCACCCAACCATTAATCACATGAACATAATTAACTGGTCCAAATTTATACTCTTTATCTAAATAGGTCAAATGAAATTACCTAAACTTTGAGAATGCGCCGTGTTCACTTGAAAGAGGTCATATCTGCCAAATTGAGATTAGAGAAGTATACCAGCGAGCAGGTGTGCTGCGCCATATCAAGCAGAGATCGCCAGCCTATGATTATGCAGAATTTCTATTGCAGTTCGTAACAAAGCACTTATGAGGATCTTTTTATGACTTTGGACAGGGTCTGTAAACACTACAACGGAGTACCATCCCAGGATCTTGGGAAGTGTCTGCCCCTTTTCTTTTCCCTTTTAGAGTGGTTGTAAACCAAGCACAGACTCTTATCCGTATCCTAACACTAAAACTGAAAACAGAAGTTTGTCGTCTCGTCTAGCAAACTCTTAGGTCAAACTACATACACAAAGCTGTAGTCCTGTACAGATGTAGATATTGTGGCCTGTTTGGGTTAGGTCCAGCCCATCCTTCCCTTTTTTCCTGAACGTGCATCCTCGTAAATTTTCATTGCACTATTATATTGCATCTTCTAAATTAGACTTTTCTAACCTACCTGTTCAGACGACTGATGTTAGACGTCCGTTCTCTGCAGCTCACTGAAGGCCTTCTTCAGACAGCTCAAACCACAGCAATGATTACTAAAGGTCCCATTCGCTCTCCTGTCCTAAAACCCTGTGAGGTCATCAGCTGTTGTGCCTTTCACTGCCAAGCAGGGCACCAAATTTGTGATGTCATTAGACAGTTTCTGCTGAGATCTCACACCCGCGCCCGAACTTCATATTTAAGAGTTTTTTTGGCTCTCCCCGACGTTGAGCGTAATGAAAGCAGTTAAAATGAGAGAGCAAACAGTGTGTGTATTCGTCGGTCCAGGTCTTATTTCAGGCATTTTATTTTGTGTGTGGTATTTTTACCCTCCCCCCACCCCCACCCACTATGAATTTCTCATTCTGTACATAAACTAGCAGCGAAGAGGCCAGAGCGTGGAATGAAGGAGGAAGCATGCGGAAACGGCAGACACTGTAATAACACTGAATTTCTTCATGGGGCATTTTTGTATTTTTCTGTTTTGTGTCAAGTTTGCTGTGACGTTGATAACGGCACTACAGGTATTGATAGTGACACGTGCCAATTCTGTCTTGGAAAGAAAAACACAAAAAAAAGCAAGGCATTGTAAATATGGCAGACAGAGTAGGATTCGCTCTCGTCACAGCGAGCTTTTGTTCGAAGGCAGGCGGAGAGAAGAAGGGACGATTCAGGACTTTTCCATGATCCACAGATATTTTTCTACAAATTTAAATCAGATGATTCTATACACTGTTGAATAACATTGTAAAGGTGTAACAGATGCTGTATATCATATCATGTTTTCTGAAGTGGTAAAGCTTTACTGTATGATCTGTTGAAGTCGTAGTTATTCATTTGAACACCTTAGTTGTGATGGAAGCCCGAACAGCAGCACTGGTCACCATATTCAGGAAGAAGAAGAAAAACACAAAAAAAAAGGGGGGAAAAAGATAAAGAAAAACCTCAGATGTTTTTTGTAATACTTTTAGAATATATCTTATGAAGTGGGTTTTGTAAGGAAACACTTTCTGAATCAGCGGTGCTGTGAGCATAGCACACTCAGTAATACATTATTACACACTAGTACAGCACAAATACACCTATCCTTTTTAAAACCTTCCACTCGTCTGTTCCCAGTCACCGTCGTCGGCTCCTGATTTGAAGTCTTAAAGCCATTTATGCAGAATATCTTTTTGTTGAACGAACGATTCTGAACAGTTCGGCTCTTTTAGTCGAGTCTCGAGTCTCACAGAAGAAGCAAAAAGCCAAATAGTGATGTAGTTGTCTCTGGAGAGGTTGCAGACGGATTTCTGTGTATTGCTACCTAGTGTTGTTGCTTCAGTTCACCCTTAGCTTGAACCACAGTAGTCTGACAACCAAATGACCTGGGGAGGTCTTCACCCCTCCTCACCCCCTCCTCCCCTCTCCTTTGGAAAGCTTTAAGATGCTTGTTGAGGCTTTAGAGAAAAAAAAACCAGTGTGTTTGAGATTTCCTCCCAGCTCATCATCAACGTGGAAGTAATAATTCTCATCATTTCTCCCACTGCTTATTTTTGTGTGTGCGTGTGAGAGTGAGTGTGTGTGCGCGCGTGTGTGTGTGCTGTAGTACAAAAAGCTGCATGACTGTAAAGGGATGTTACAATGTTTTATTTTCTTTTTGTTTGTTTTTATAAGTGGTTTTTCCAGCACTTCTGTCACTCCTGAGATGTTTTTTTCCCCTCTTTCAGATTCTGCCTCTGTTTGTCTTTTTCCTTCATGTATCATTGTTTCTTTAACTTTCTATTTACTAAACGTATCATGTTGTTTGTTCTCAGCACTGTAAAACAGTCCCTTCTACAACATTGAAAAGCAATATCACTGTATGAAACGTTCACAATGTATTTGTTATGATTGACATTTGATTCATCATCATTATTATTATTCACATGCACCCTAGGTGTGATAATTGAAGTAAATCTCTTTTATACAAATACTATAAGTGTGCCTTTGTATCTTTTTTTTATTTTTTGCTTGTTTACTTCTGAAAAATGTTTTGGTGGTTCTGCAAAGTATTCTCAGAGAAAAGAGTTTAGTTTGAGAGTTTCAGAGGTGTTTCTGACTTATTCGGCCATTTTCAGCTTCTTCAGGTGAGTCGTCTCTGACGTTAATAATTTTCTAACTGAGAAATCTGGACGAGAATCTGGAAATAATCTGGCTGCTTTGCAGGTCGTTACTCTGAGCTTCAGGTGGAGTTCTCGGCGGCCGTGCGGACCAGTGCCGAGCAGAAGGAGCTGATCCTGAAGCTGGAGTATGACCTGAGCACCATCCAGGCAATGTCCTCCATCTCCCGGCCTGACGCAGACGGGTCAGATGTCCGCAACATCCCTGACCCCATCAAAGAGGCCACTGCTATGTTTGCTGGTATGAAACAGGATTGTTAAAATATGGTTGTTGTAAATTCTGTCGGTAGTATCGAGTTAAAGGGAATATGATGCAATATGATAGCAAATAAAGATCAAAGCTAATGTGCAGAAGTTAGGGATTTTTCTTTTGCAAACTAAAGCGGTGTCCTCTCCAGGTTCAGGTGTGAGTCCCAATCCTGAGCTCCCTCAGGGCCAGATGGACTCGCTGCTCTCTATCATCTCCAGCCAAAGGGAGAGGTTCCGCTCCCGCAATCAGGAGCTGGAAGCAGTGAGTCACACACACACACACACACACACACACACACACACACACACACACACACACACACACACACACACACACACACACACACACACACACACACAGAGTGCATTTATTCCTCATCTACTCCTCATCCTCACCGTGTTTTATTCCTGTGACCACAACAGGAGAACCGCTCCATGCAGCAGACCATGCAGGCCCTGCAGAGTGAGCTGGACAGCCTAAGAGCCGACAACATCAAGCTCTACGAGAAAATCAAGTTCCTGCAGAGCTACCCAGGCCGAGTACGTCTGCCTGACTACAGAAATAAAGAGCCTTAACATTGTGCCTGGTGGTACCCTGGGTAGATCTGTTTGTTGTGTTCGTGTTTTAGGCTGGCGGCAGTGACGACACAGTGATGCGCTACTCCTCCCAGTATGAGGAGAGACTGGATCCATTTTCCTCCTTCAGCAAGAGGGTACAGGACAACCATCCACACCTCACGCCTCAAAATACAATCTTTGTTGCCACATATTGAGTCATTTCTGCTTTTCAGTTTGACTAAGAGTAATTCTTTTTGGTTTAGGTTTATTTCAAACTTTTTAACACACAGTTGCAAACTGAAGGTGGCAAAGCATTTTCAGTTGTAATTTAAATAGATTTAGACAAATTGAGTTGCAGACACTATTTCTCAAATTGAGTTGCAGACACTATTTCTATTTGGACCTTCTGTAAAAAGGTCATTCTTTGTGTTTGTTGCAGGAGCGTCAGCGTAGATACCTGAGCCTCAGTCCTTGGGATAAAGCAACTCTCAGCTTGGTTAGCCTCAATCTAACAAGTACACTCTAGTGTGTTTCATTCTGCTTAAACCTGTTTTTCTCTTCCAGGGACGTGTGATTCTCTCCAACAAGATGGCCAGAACCATTGCCTTCTTTTACACCCTGTTCCTGCATTGCCTCGTCTTCTTGGTGAGTTTCTCTCTCTCTCTCTCTCTCTCTCTCTCTCTCTCTCTCTCTCTCTCTCTCTCTCTCTCACACACACACACTCATTCACACACTCATTCACACACTTCGCTCTAAAACAGGATTTGCCTCTCTCCTGTCATTTTCCAGGTTCTGTACAAGACAGCTTGGAGCGAGAGTATTGGGAGAGACTGTACAACATTCTGTGCTAAACGGTGAGCGTTTTTCCTGTAGCTGCCCGTATATCCACTTTGTGGAATTTATTTTATTTCTAAAGGTAAACTAAATCTTTTGTCCCCTCTTCCTCTCCTGACAGGTATGCTGATCACCTCCACCGCTTTCATGAGGATGATCAAAACCTTTAATCTGCCCCATTACCATCTGCACTCAGCATGTATGTCCTGCAGAAAAAAACAACAATTTTCCTGTGATATCTAAATATCCAGTAGGGGGAGGTATAGAGCCTTGAATCATTAATCAAAGAGTGGTTCCAGAGTAGATTTACTGTTTCTTGATTACAAATAATATATTGATCATGCAGAACAAATATCAGGCTCCTTCTGGTGTTGGGTTAAAATAATGAGATGCTGTAGTTATTGGTATTTTGTGTGTGTTCTGATTTAGATCTGGTTTAATGAAGACAAATGACTTGTTTACTGTACTAAAAGGGACCAGGATGCTTGTGTCATGTTAAGTAATTTGTTCCTATCATCATATAAAATATTTGGTGTTAAAGGTGTCGGTTCAGCACAACCCAAGAGTAGGTGGGAGTGGAAGCTACACATTTACGTATTTTCTTCAGTTGTTTAGGATAGATTAGCTAATCAGATGAGTGATCGACTCCATTCTGTTACCCTTACTTCCTGAAAATGAGGCTACAGTAATTCATGATTAACTGAGGAGTTTGTTTTCCTAATTGTGATAAAAATGTTTATGTGCATGTTTACCTGCTTACGTTTGCTTTTCCTTTTTGCAGATTAAATCAAATAAAGAATATGCAATAATTTGTCTTTTATTTTCATCTCTATTAGATGCAGCCTTTTATTATTCAGGTCCACTTTGTCTTTTCATCCAGTGGGATGAACCAGTGTACTTTAAATCTGAGCAAGTATCGATATGCTTGAGATGAAAACAAAAGGTTAAACTGCTACAATCACAGTGTAATTCAATTCAAGTTTATTTATATAGCGCCAAATCACGACAAGAGTCGTCTCAAGGCACTTCACATAATAAACATTCCAATACAGGTCAGTTCATTAAGCCAATCAGTAAAAAGTTTCCTATTTAAGGAATTGTGTAATCTTTACAGCAATCCTCATAAGCAAGCATTTAGCGACAGTGGAGAGGAAAACTCCCTTTTAACAGGAAGAAACCTCCAGAAGATCCTGGCTCACTGTAAGTGGTTTAAAACGTTCAGCTATCATAGCTGTTTTCTAATAAGGTTTGAAAAATATCTTTTAGAATTACATTTTTATTTTCCAGATAAATATTACTAAAAGCAGTTTTATTGACCAAACTTTTTAGTCAAGCTGTTCCGGGGTCATTTAAGTTAATTTTTCTTCCATACGACAGCAGTTCACTCATTTTATCAGCTTTTCTCTGCATCTCTTTTAAAATGGGCTCATATTGCCCCTCTCCTTTGCTCAGCATGTTATTTATTCATTGTTGCCGATGACTTCCTACCACCACTGTGTCATCAGCAAACTAACTGATTTGGGTTGGATGAAATACATTAGTAAAGGACTGAGTACACATCCTGGAGGAACTCGTGTGCTTCATTTTGATGGAATTTGATGAGTTACACCAATTCTAACAGAATTATGAGATTACTCTTCTAACTGCTGTGAAGCCTAGGAGTGGACCTGAGCGATTGGGTCTCTAAAGACAAGACTTCTCAGGCGTCACTTGGAAAAACGGAAAATGACAGAATACAAACTTCTTTAGATACATTCAGGGTGAGTTGACTGACTGAGGCTGTTAAAAAAAAGTTAGATTTAACTATTATGCTTGTATCATCTCTACAGCCTCTGTTGATCAGTGGGTAAGACGCTTGGCACAGTGCTTGAGCCTATTGGGATGAGCAACAGAATTGAGGACTCATCTGAGAACCGTGAGAACTTCTTGAAATGTTTTTTTTTAATAGAAAACAGCAACACCAAGACCCTTCTAGTCCACGACCATCCGAAAGGGTCCAAATGAAGGAAGCTGGACTTGGTTGGTTTCTTGAAGATGTTGTGCTTCCCATTTGAGGAGCTTTGTCAATTTTGACTGGAATATGGGAGGGTCAAGCTTATAAAGTCCATGACCCGTCCTATGCTTCTGCTGAACCACCTCTGCTAACAGCTGCACTTGTTTTCACCTGCGTTCATCCATCATCTAATGGGCCATTCCCATCTGTACCAGGTTGGCCCGGGCCGGGTAGCCCCAGTCGGCCCCAGCCTGGCCCGGTTGATTCCACACATCCTTGTCTAAGCCCATGTGGGCTGATTCTACCCACCAATCAGAGGCTTGCTCTAATGGAAGGTGTGAATTTGCTGTCAGCAGTGGGTGTGTTGGCCCTGGTCGGCCTGAAGCAGACCCCCTCGAGAAGAGGGCTGGGAATGAGCCTTGGTTGGCCCGGAAAAATACCAGGCCACCCAGATATGTAAACAACCTACGCTACCCGGCCCGGGCCGACCCGGTACAGATGGGAATGGCCCATAATTAAGCTAATTTCCTAGATGAGGCCTTCTGGCGTGATATTCTGCTAGCCTGGTTTTTTGAAGCAGCTGCTCCAGTTTTGGCGCCTCTGTTCCTGAGGGTTAATGGCAGCCTAAACTTCAGTCTTGTACTTCAGGACTACAAACATGTGATGGGGAGAAAACCGGGTTGGATCGTGCAGTTAAGTCTAATTATAGGCCAATCTCAAACCTTCTCTTTTTCTTCAAGATTTTGGAAAGGATTGTGTATGATCACCTGTCCTGGTAAGGTAACCATGAGATTGTTGAACCCTACAGTCTGGATTCAAGGCAGGGCACTGGAACTGCCTTGCTAAAAGTACTTTGTGGCGTATTCCTGGTGACTGATGCAGTAGTGTTGCTCATGGACCTCACCACTGCGTCCATGCCACCATCAAATCCTGCTGAACCATCTGGAGCCATGGGTAGAGCTCTCAGGAGCAGCTTCATGGTGGATGGGATCCTACCTCATGGGTAGAACTATGAATATGTCCATGGGCACTTGCTCATCACATGATGAACAGCTAAGATTGGGGGGTTCAGCAGGGCTCTATTCTAAAACCGTTGTTGTTTTCTATCTACCTGCTCCCACTAGGGCTGACTTTTCAGCACAATATCAGTTTTCATATATTTGCTGACAACTGCCAGTAAAGAAA